GGGTGGGGAGAAGAAGTTGGGGCCCGCGCCAGTGTGTGTAATACACAACACACATATATATATATAGCTGCCAGGCAAAAACAACTTCTTTGTCAAGTATAAGAACCTCCAAGGAGATCGCAGGGTTCTCAACCACATTCTCCTCTGGCGCCTCAGCCAAACAAAGCCTTCCCAAAGCACCGCCGCAGGAGGCCGCAACGTACGAACACAGCCCCGGCGCTGCCAACTGTACACGTTTTCGAGAGATGTGGAGCGGCACGGAGCGCCAGTCCCCCACCGTGAAGGAGGATCCGCGCCTGGCGCAGTCTGGGAGTCTCGGAGAGTCTCGGAGGGACTTTGGATTACACAGACCATAAATGACATTGAGATCAATTTTATTTCATACTGAAAACGCATTTCCACCGTGGACGGATTCATTGATGGTACTTGACACTGGGTCGTTTGATGGAAAAACTCCAAATTCGCCATCAATTTCTGAGGTTCACATTTCAGTGGTACTGGGCATTGGGAAATCTTTTTTGACGGGTAATATTTTAGATCTACCCAGCATGAAACAACAGAAACATACTATGAAGGTCATGACTCAGTCATGACACAAAAAAAGGGCAGCTTAACTCCCATTGCTAGTTTAAACTCACTTATCATATCATTTAGTAACCCTTTCCTCCCTAGAAAACCCTGGGGGCCTTGTCCTTCTATTCCTTTTTGTCGAAGTGGTTCAGCAAGCATGCTTGCGACAGGGTTATGTGGCATGCCTTCAGATCCTTTCAAGTACAAATGCACCCCTTTTCTGCTCTTCTCTTCCTTCTCGTTCCTTTTCTTCTCGTCTCTACTAGGAACAAGAAACTAGTAGGTTGGAGGCCATCGCTGCTAGGGTGGAGGCCATTGCTACTAGTAGCAAGAAGCCACTAGTGTTTTATGTTTAATACGTTTTCTCCCATGGTTCCTTCCTGCCTCCGACTCTGACTGTAGAGTCTTGGACAGCTTAGCGTGGAGACGGTGGACTGTCGTCGAGACTCGTTGGGCCGGATCTCGGCATGCAGAACCTCCCGGAGCTGGGCGTTGGCCAAGTCCAAAGGCGTCCGTCCACGCAGGTCCTGGAAAAGGTCGAAGTTGGTGATGTTGTCTTTCATCGGTCAAGCGCTTTCTTAGAAGATGTTTTCTTAAGTCCTAGAACACATCCTACAACAGTATAACAAAGATCCCTCAAAGGAACTTCCAGATGCTTCTTACAGTGCTGTCCTGGGCTGATGTCCAGTCAGGGCATTTGTTGGCAAGAGTCGCAGCCGCTTCCACTTGCTTGGCAGCAACGGCCACATGCAAGGGAGTCTGCCCTCTTTTATCCAAATAATGCCGATCTTCCTTCAACGCTCCATTGTCGATCAGCACTTTGATGACCTCATCCTTGCCATGCCTAGCTGCCATATGAAGCGCAGTCCAATCCTGCCATGTGGCCGTGTTCCAATTCCGACAGTTTTTCGCACCCTTGTGGGTAATGCTGATGAAGGCGCCCTGTTTCACCAGGAAATCACAAACATCTGCATGACCTTGCCAGGCTGCCAGCATCAACAGGGTGTTGCCATCCACATCCGGCTTGTTGAGATCAATTTCGACCGAACTGCTCCGGGTGAGTTCCCGGACCTCCGACACCAAGGTCTCTAAGGCATCTTTCAATCTCTCCAGGTGACCCCTTTCACTGGCTGTAAAGATATCAATGAGGTCGATCTCCCAAATCACTCGGAATTGCATGAAAATCCAAAGGCAAAAATAGATGAAAAGGCTCAGAACCAGCGAACCACACATTACCTGATGCGTGCTGATGATCATGTGCAAATCATCCCAGGAATCTTTAGAGGCGACGATGCAGCAAATGGTCATGGGCATCAGGAAGACTTCGAGCAAAAATCTCAGGTCAAACCACGTCGATATACTCTTGGCTGCTCTTCGCTTGTATGGCGAGTCCACAAAGAAGAATATGTTCACCCACATGCATGGGACGCAAGACAATAGGCGTACCAAGATGCGTTTCTCATCACCTCCGAAGTAGCAGGTCACCAAGAAAGATAAAAGCAGATTCGAGGCGGCAGGGCTCCACCACCAAAAAGTGATCCGTCTAGTAGTGACCACCTCGAATCGCAGCGAAGGCGAAGGCATGTCGGCTCGGGGGAATCTCTGGCGGATTTACTTCGCGACAATCCCCAATCTGGCGTAATTAGGGAACTTTAAGACTCGAGATTGGAGCAAATGACCACCAGTGTTCTCGCTTGGAGAAGCTGCAAGATCTGCCTTCGCATCTCCACGCTTTCAAAACACTTTGGACCGCCATGGACCATGTTGGTCCACCCGAAAACCCTAGAAACAGGTGCAATCGTGCAATCCAAGTGACAAACATCACGTGCATCAGCGTCCGGCTTACAACTTCACTGACTCGAAAAAGGAGGTGGATGACTTCGTAGTAGCGAGACTGAATCTTCTTGGCCACTTTGTTGGAACAGCAAAAGTCCAACTCCATGATGCCAAATCCAGTTGATAGGAACAGGATGAAACCAAGAAATCGCATAAGTTCTTTCTCATAGGGCCACGTCTCCCTCATCAAGGGATCATCTGGTGGTGAGTTCACACTACACCAGGCACAGGTGATCACAGTGATCGCCGGTAAGCCTTCGCACAAGGCACAAATCGCCTTACAGTGAAAGCGGTTCCAGCCATTACTGTTAGTCTCCGGTTCCTCATCGCTGTCCTGGCGTTCCAAATAGTTGTCCCAGGCTAAGTAGAAAATGATGCCCTGGAAAAGGCCCAGTGGAATCCACAGAATCGCCTCGGCATAAAGTCTCAGATTACCAAGCTTCTAGGCTTCCAACCTTTCATTTAGGCCGTCAAAGCACATTTCTTCAAATACACAAACACATTTTTCTACATGCGCGTCGACGCCCGACCTTCCAGTACCATTTCTGAGACTTCAAAGGCAGAAGCCTGCATTGGACATGTGTGAGTTCAGCTCGCCAGGCGGCATGGCTGCACACCTCGAGAAGCATGACATGAGGTGCTCTGGGTCGCCCAAAGAAGCAACAACAACTAGACAAGTGGCTCCGAAACTACGTGGTTTTTGCATGCTTCTGCGTCAGCTGAGGAGCAAGGCCCGAAAACAGAAGCGGAGTGGCCATGGCACACATCATGCTGTAGTTGGCTCCACAAAGAAAGTTGAACATCGCCACAAGCTCAGAAAGCAAAGCAGCCACATGTAGAACCAGGAAGCCCACCAGGACCTGAAAGCAAAAAACCAAGCGAATAAGTCCAAGGCTGCTTTTCCTTCACCAACTTGCTCCGAACACTGGGGGATTCACTGGGCATTTCTCGCCAAGAGCCCGCGTTGAAAGGAACAACACAATATGAAGCATGTTAACGTAGTCACCTGGAATACCTGGACCGCTATCGTTGTCACCCTTCAATCCTCGTTTCGTTTGAAACTCTCGTTGCGCCTGTAGTCCGGGTGCCTGCTTCGGCTCCCCACGTCCCGGCGACAAGGGCTCTCGGGAGTCATTGACGAGTTCGATGTGGAGGTCACTGACCATGGTGGAGGTCGAACTCCAAGAGCACCGAAGAATCCGAAGTCGAACGTGTTTCGACGTCTTTGAAAACGTTCAGTTTAGTCAAAGCCAGGGCCTGGCGGCCTTGGTCACTGTTCTAGCTTTGGTTTTCCAAATGTTCTTTTTTGGGGGGACCTAGGCTAAGGTGGATGAGGACACTGTTGAGCTGTTTGTTGATGACAAAGTCTTTGCTGTGTCCTTGTGGACAGGTTTGCAGACTTGAGCATCACCCGGAGATTTTCTCAGCAAAACCACAGCTCCAAGACTCTGGATTTACTCAATGACTACAGTGACTTAGGTTGGAGGCCATTGCTATTAGGTTGGAGGCCATTCCTATTAGGTTGGAGGCCATCGCTATTAGACACAACGACAAAAATAATGTAATTATATACATTACATTGAAGTACATGCCTTTCCACATCGTTGGGAGATTCTGAGTCCATCTCCTTTCTCCTTCACAGACATCTCCTTGCTGAGGAGACAACACTTGTATTCGTCTTCGTCAAGAAAACCCGGAAATGATGCTCGATCCACGAAGGCCTCGAGAAGATCACGGCTGACAAGCCAGGAGCTATTAGTAGCTTCTTGTTAGTAGTTTGATAAGGGGTTGATTGCATTTGGAAACGATCGTCTGAGTCTTGTGACATCTTGTGACTGTGGCCTTGAGGTTCGAGTGCTGGTTCATTTCTCAGGTCAAGACCATCAACGGAGTTTCGGGCCGGGCAATTCCTTGGCTTAACGTGGGAAATTTACACAATCTCACGTCCGCTTTGATCCCCCGATTAGTTCAACTGGGCCAAACTCAACCAACGCTTGAGGCCAGCACCAGCTGGGGCTAGGGCATTGCTCGGGCTGAGCTCGTGCCTCAGCAACAACATGGGCCCTCACCCACAAATTTCCAAGACTTTCAGAACTGTCCCAGGAGCAGTCTCACCACAAAACTTGTTTGTTGAACAGTTCCTCTGTCCCCTTTTGCTCTGCGGCTGTATTCTTGGTGAGCGCCAGTGATCAGGGCTACCGCACCCACGCTGTTGTGCAATAACCTGTCCATCAACACTTTGACGGACCCAAACCCATGTCGCGGAGAAAAAACGCGGTGCATTTTCTTGGTGCGGTGATTTGCTGTGATTGTTGATTTCCAATCCTTTTGCAATGTTTTCATGTCTCCATGATTTCGTTTGATCCTAGGGAGATGCCTACTACAAACAGTGGACATCCTCCCTAATTACTGAAAAGAAAGCTGGGTCGGGTCAACCCCTTCTTGCGACCCAGGCAGGGACAGCGGAATGCCTGCTCAGCTGAAGCATATCCAACGTCAAAGGCCAACCTGGCCCAGGATAATTCTTTGTTGGTCTCCATCTCCCGAGCTTTTTTGAGCTACTCATTCTTTTGAGCTACTCATTTTCTGTTTTAAGATCTGGAAAAGAATGTCCCCAACCTGAAAGAACAAACAAGAACATACACGCTCTCTGAATATGAACGCCACTTTCCGGCAGCCTCTCATCATCAAACAAACCACCACGTTGGACCAGCTCTTCTGATCCCTTGGCGCAAGGGCACAAAACTTCGCATTCACCAGACTTCACTAGTGACACTAGTCAGTCTAGAAAAATCTCTGGCCATCTCCTTGCACTCCCAAAAGTCTCAGCTCATGGCTTGAAGGAAGTCTGGCCAGCCAGGGGGTTGATGTGGCGGTTGCTGCAATAACTGCCTCAAATCCTCCATTCTATTGGCGTCGCCTGCGAGTAACGGAGTGCAAAACCGCAAGACTCAAGAGCGTACACCACGCTCCCAAAGCGCCTGACAACCTGCAGCTTCAAACTACATCAAGTATCAAAGGATCATGCCGTTCACGCCTGCATCTGCAGCGCCGCCATCCATCCTGCACAAACGTGAAATTCACAGATGCTGCGACGCTAGAAATTGCCCCCAACCGGACCTAGCCGGACTGCCAAGTGGACCTTGCCTGGATGCCAATGGCTTGGCCAAAGGTGAAACTGCGATTCGTGAGTTCTGTTTCGAGCCGGTGGCACAGCCGGCGGTAGCCAAATCAGTTGATGGTGAGCAACTGGAGATGCCCAAAAGAATGCAGTTGGCTGTGGTCATTTCAGGTTCAATGATAGGAAGAGAAGAAAACCCAGGAACAAACATTATGGTGTTTCATCACCAGAAGCCACGTGCCCTTTGTTGGACAAAGCCCAAAGTTCCCAAAGCAAATACGTCTCGTTCCATCCTTTTGCAGCGAGAGATGGCGCCGAGAAAGATTCAACTTGAATCCGCTCTGCTTTGGGAGCCTAAGCGTCCTTGCTCCTAGTAAGGCCAGGAGCCCGTAGTAGCGTCCTTGTTACTACTAGTAAGGCACTTGTTACTAGAAGCGATGCACTTGTTTCTACTAGCTTCTTGTTCCTAGTAGTAAGGCCAGGAGCCCCTAGTAGCGTCCTGGCTCCTAGTCCAAAATTAACAGAAACATCAAAAGACCATTGGATCCTCGAGTCAAGCTGATGGCTTCACATCAAGAGCTTCAAAATGTATGATGTCACGCCAACGAGTCCTCGTCCACCTTGGAACAATCGGATAGGTTTTGTGAGCATGATGATTCCAGACCACGAAAACGCCTGAGATGAAGCATCACTCATTCTGTAATAATCTGGTATCCTTTTCTTCCATTTCTTACCCTTGCTACTTTCCGAGGATGGTCTGGTCTCGTTAAACCATGTCAACCCTATCTTCTTAGGTCAAAAGGCACTCTATGGCACTTTATGGCATTCATTGTTTTTCATGCTTCATGCGGCTTTGCGCTCCAAGCGGCGAAGTCCAAAGGCCTCAGGAGCCGTGGGCCACGGGTGCCCAGCAAGGTCGGCTCGCTCTGAAGATCCAAGCGCCGACGGTGCTCCTGGCGACAAGAACTCTCGCTCAGTTCTCAGAGCTTTGCAACAGGCAATTGGAGGTGTTAAGTGCATTGAGAAAACAGAAGTTGTCGCTTGGTGGAACAAGCAATTTGACGTCGCTTTGGTGGAAAGGTGTCGAGAAAAATCCTTCTCTCGACTCTTGACGAGATTCGTGACTTCTTTCTGTGACCTAAATGGGGTTGAGATCTGTCAGAACTAAGGCATCAATCTCTCTCCTTTGTGGTCTTGCCCTGGAATACCAACCACAAGTGATAAAGCCACAGCATCACCTTTCGAGCAAGGGCTAGACCATGCTGTGAGACCAGTGCAAAAGGAAAGGAGGAAACAGGCGACGAACAAACAGTCACGACCCAACCGTCTGAGCGTTTCTGACACCCTCACACGCTTTTCACATTTTGCTGAGTGTTCGAGCCAACATCAGGGCAGCCACGACCACAGCAACACAGCCCAGCAAGACCTCAGCGTCGCCCTTTCAATGGAACAGGACACTTATGTTGGAGCCTGTTCGTTGGAAGTTGATGGAGTCAGGTCCTTTCAGACATCATGAAGATGGATCGTCAAATTGAGGATCCGTTGGAGGTCTGCTTTGATCTGTTTTGAAGCATCCTTGCTGGACCCAATGATCTTGTCAGAAGCATGCCGAATGAAAAACACACGAAGGTGTAGTGTGTAGAGCAAAGCACTGGTCACGGGTGATACAAATCTTCTGCGTGGACTTAACTAGACTCTTGGGAAAAGACATGAAAACAACTGAACCAAACAAAGTCTCATTCCCTCTCGTTCGGCGTATTCTGCTTGCGCTCTCTCAGAGCCCCACGGCCCAGCGGTACCAGGAGCCCTGAGAGGTGCCCGCGGTACCCGAATCCTCGTCCTCACCTTGGAGATGTTTCGAAGCTTTGCGCAGTGGTCGTCGCTCAAACAGAAAGCTTTGTTACTAGCGATGGCCTCTTACGCAAAAGTACAAACGGCCGTCTACAGGATTCAAAGAGGGCACCCAACTTCGCCCCATTCATTTTGTTGACTGGTAGTGATGACTGGTAAGAATGCTACTAGTAGTAAGGCCAGGAGTCCCTAGTAGCTTCTTGTTCCTAGTAGCGATGCCTAGTAGCGTCCTTGCTCCTAGTAGTAAGGCCAGGAGCCCCTAGTAGCTTTTTCTTGTTGCCAATTGCTCTCATTGTCCCAGCAAAAGTTGGCGAATCTGGGCGGCCAAACTCTCACTGCCAGAGAAAGTCCAAAGGATAGCCGGCAAGACAATAATTGCCAGGAAAATCGCCACGGTCGTAAAGATGATGAAGAAATGGTAATTCCTTGGTTTCGACGAATACTTAGCATGTGCACTTCTCATTCTTCACCTTCGACACGCTCGATCTCACACATGTCAGTGCTTTCAACAGGTTTGGCAGCCGTAGATTTGCCAGGCAGCCGTTGGCCCACGCAGTTGTTCACAAAAGGGCAATGGTGGTCATATCGCAGCACCTTTACAGCTCACCCTGAGGCCCTAGATTTAGATTCTCTTTGTTCATTTACCAAGTAGCTTCTAAAGCTTCTTTACTCGTAGTGTTTTTTTTGATTCTTAAGGCGCTGCATGCTAATTTGCTTGAGCACTTAGGCTTTACATCTGGAATAATACAATCCGGAGAAGGGATCTTGAAACAATAGCCATGGCCATGGCGAGCCTCATGACTCATGCTCTCAGATCGCCACTAGGTTGGAGGCCATTACTACTTGTAGCAAGAAGCTACTAGTGTGTTTGAAGGCCAAGTCGTCCAAGGTGCGCAGTGATCACAGTCTTTGCAGTGAGATGCGCGCGGCGGCCGAACGATTTGGCAGGTGTGGCACCTGGGAAAGCGGTTTGCTTGGAACAAAATCGTGGCACAGAAACGACAAACCTAGGGAGCACCTGTTAACTGTTAATTTCATTCGATTTGATCTCGGCATTTGTGAGCGTGAGGCTCAATGGCATTCTTTCACGGCGAAAACTGTGGGTCCCCCCGCCATCGATATCCCTCAGCCCGCAGCTGTTCTGAGACCTGGGGCAAAAAGACGATAAAAATGTGACTTGCTTGGTCCATGATATGGTTTTCTTCAGACCATGATGATTCAAAACATGACACATATGACATATGATATCATATGATGATAGTTTCAACTGGTATGCGGCTCTTCCTTGACTTGAATGATGCAAAGGACATGAGGAAATAGGCTTGTCAAAGTCAGATCTGTCGGCAGGAACCAAAGCCCGCGGCCATGCTGGCTGCATCTAAGCACGGATCTCCACAAGGCTCTTGTCCTCCAAAGGCATTTTGGTGCTTTCAATTGGTTCATGAATGAAGCTACAACATCATACCACATCAAGATTCTTTTTGCGCAACCTGTGCCAAGCTTCTTGTGACTCTTGTGACTTACCCTCCATTCTTCCCAAACCGAAACGACGTCCTCTTGGGCCCAATAAATCGTAGCCCAAAAGCTCCGCCAAATGAGTACGGCTTCCTCACGTGACTCTCGTGGAAAAAAACATAACTTCGATTTCTGGACCTTTCAACTCAAAGGTCATCGCTACTAGGGTGGAGGCCATCGTTATTAGGTTGGAGGCCTTCGCTGCTAGGGTGGAGGCCATCGCTCTTGGGGTGGAGACCATCGCTCTTGGGGTGGAGGCCAACTATGTGGCATTGTCGAAGCGTTTTCGTGACTGTTTTGGGTCGCTCCATCCCTCCTCCTCTTTCTGCCGCGCCTGTGGCCAACACAAACCTCCTGGGAGGGATGATGCCTGGATCGCTGCAGCAGGTGGCCAGTAGCGATGCCACCTCAAGTCCCAGATTGAGACGAGTGTGTGAGGGAGTAATGAGATGTAATGAGTGGCCTATGGGGCCATGAGTGTCTGTGATATACGGTATGTGGTAAGGTTCCGCTTCTTTCTGAGTTCAGCCTGGTAGGATTAAAACTGAAACGATTGATACATACACAGATTCTATTCGTCACACCTCAAGTCTCAACCCCCCAAGGTCTTTAACGGCGAGTGCATCTATATCATCAGTGCTTGATTCCCTCTCATTCATAAGCTGCAGAGAAGTTGACTCGTGAGAGTCTAGGTTTGGCATGGTTTGGCCTTGCTCCGTGCACCCTGAGTCTGCGTGCTGTTGCTGAGAATAGCAACAGGAAGCTGGGAAGCAGCAGCGGTGACACGTTTTGCCTGCAAAGTTCTCAATGAGTAGCGGCCGATATGTCAAAGTTACAAAATGGCAAAAATATGGGATGCTTGCTCAAAGAAAAGCATCGCTGCGTCGCTGCAGGTTGCCATCGCGGCTTTTCATCCAATTTGGTATCTCACCAGTGCCTCTGCAAACGCGGCAGCGCCACTGTGAAGAACCTGATCCAAGGCTAGCGCGAAACGTGTTTAGAACTGACATGAGATGTTACACTGTGCATCGCATAAGATTCTTCTCCGCAACCACCGCTTGTTTGATGTCATTATCTTCTGCTTCTACCACTTCAGAAGAAACGCGCACTAACAAGGTGAAAGGGCACAAGCTTGTGAAGCATTTGTGCTTCAGATAACTTGCAATCCAGTTGCAGGGCGCTGGGGAGCAAAATGCAGATCCTGAGTGCTTGGAGGAAACACAGGGGAGCTGGTTGAAACTCGTAAACCTGGCTGCAAGCTCTGATCTTCGAGAAACACTAACCGACTAACTCCAATTCGGGACCTGAAGTAATGTGAACAAGAAGGTATAAGAAGCTACTAGGAGGGGCATCGCTACTAGGAGCAAGAACGCTACTAGGGGCTCCTGGCCCTACTACTAGGAGCAAGAAGCTATTATGATGGTGTCAGTTTGCAAAGACCAAGGTGGGAAGCGAGGCAGCGAGACTCGTGACGTTTCGTTGCCAAGTGGCCAAGTAGCCAGGCTCGCGCAACTGAGGCCGCCCAAACAAGCGATGGGGCACTCGCCCTGCCAGGTGTTCGGACCAAACGACCAGGTCATTGGTAACGAAACCGCCTATCCTATGTTGAAATGTGGGCAGCCACCTTTTGATCTGAGTGATTGTTTCAGGCTTGTGTGGTCGCTGTCTGCAGTGGTGCAACTGTTCATACTGGGATACATTGTCGTGGGCACCAAATCCCACCTCCCCTCCAGTGATGCAGCGACCAGCGCAGTAGAACCTACTCTTCCCACGCCAGTGCTGGTACCTGAGCTGTCTTGAAAGTCCCCAGGTGCCATATCATGTCACCAAACGGCAGGCCAAACAGCCCTTAAAAATCAGCAAGTACGCCAACAAACATGGCCACATTGGACGCACTAGACCAGTCTGCACCACAACGTTTTCCACGCCGGGACCGACTTTCCACCCAGGTCACAGGCGTGAGCGAGCAGGCCGCGGCCTTGTCCCACAAGTCCGGGGTCTATGATTAGAACAAATCGTAGAAGCTTCTTGGTCACTACACTAAAACAATCTTCTTTTGAGGTGCTAATAGCAATGGCCTCCAACCCAATAGCGATCCAAGCTAGAAGCATCTGACACACCACTTACTTCTGCTTGCTACAAGTATCACTGCCTCAATGTTGCTAGATTAAGTATCTATAGCGGACAAAGCTACTCTATATTGAATCTGTTTCTCTCACCCATCCACTTCTTTCCATCTGTCATCTCTTGTCATCTGGTCTGTTGTTCTTTCCGTCCGCCTCATTGGGTCCATCAATGCTCACATCGGACAAGTCTCCTTCATCGCTGGTCAACCCGACATCGTTTCTCATCGTGTCCGAGCATCGTTTGCTTGAGACCTCAGGACCTCCCTTTTGGCAGTGGAGGATCTGCATTAGACACTTTGTTTGGTGTGATAGAAGGCAGCGGAGGCGCTTGATTTCGATCTAGTGAGTTCAGCTGACATGTTGTGTAGTCTGCACGTTCAAGTGTCACAAATTGGTTGCCCGGTGTCATAAGTGCCACATGTATCTGAATCTGCTGAGCCAACTGCTAGCCACAGGACGAAGAGATTCAGTAGCGTGCACACGTGCACAGTACAGGTCACGCAGAATGGGTCGACCCCAGCACTTGACTGCTCAGTGACCTTTTCTTGACCTCCTTGCGCTGGCAAGTCCTCTGTGTCAGGACTCAGCCTTATCAAGATGTGCGCATCGCTCAACATGAGTGTGTCATCTCGTGAGCCATGCAGCATATGATGTAACACAATTGAGACGAGAGGCTTCCGCAAAAAGATCCATTCCTTTCTTCCCATCGGAGGCCTGCAAAAAAGGCAACTAAGGAATGGGCAAGGCACTCTCGGACATTCTTGGTAGCTCCAGTATTGATATCTCCCACTTGCAAAGTCCCTCGTGCGCAACATGCCTTTTATTGATCCAAGTCTGTAGCTCGCAAATCAGCATTGAAGGCCTTTGCCGCCTCCTTATTGTTTAGATCTGTTTAGTGACCAAGTCCTGTAGGGCACAGAAAGGTCCAGTCTCGGCCTCGTTTTGAGCCTCCTTTGCAAGGACATCAGCGAGGGGTGCCTCTGTGAGGCCGTCCTGTCGTTCAGGGTCCACCTGCCGATCGTCAGGTCCGTGCACAGAGTCCGTCGAGGCGAGTTGATCAAACGTTGGTCAACGGCATCCATGGCAGGGGTGCGGATTCAAGCCGTCTGAAGCAATAAAACAAACCTAGAATGAACATGTCCTTGCGGCTCCCGTGCACGCTAGCAATCATGGACATGGTACGGAAATATGGGCTCATGGCATCTCTGCGATTGCAAACGCCTCGCCTCACCAAAGAGGCAAACATTCTCCCCTCGGATTAGCATGGTGCCAAGGTAGATGTCTGCAAAGACCTTCTCCTCAAGGGAAGGGGAACACAGAAATGCTTGGGAAGATGCCTGCCACTATTCTGCTCCAAAAACAATAGGGCGCTGTCTACCACAGTGGTTGCCATGAATTTTGAGGCCTGTGCAGGGCTGTGAGCTCAGTGAACTGGAGACTAATATATTCGCATTCCCCTTGCTAGAAGCCTTTCAGGGAACTTTTTGCCTTGGCTAAACGCGACACCAGTCGTGACTGAGCAATGGACAAATTGGATCTTCACTCACCTCTGTGTGTTCTTTTTGCGCTATTCACCGATGTGTGTGCAGCTTTTGACTTGCCTTGGCCTTCGTGCGTCGCTCCTGCTCTCTACTCCGTCTTCCCCGCTAGTCCTTTGAGGTGGAGGGTTTGCAGCCAAACGGTTGGTTTCAGCCTTGTCGGTTCAAGAACAATGACTTGGGGGTTGTTATGATAAGACCCGACCAAGGCGCTTTCAACCTTGAGCCAAAACTAGTGCACCACGTAGAAAATGTTTTGACAATACCTGTGGTTTCTGCACCCCTCTCATTGGAGACGTGGTGCTTTGGACGAGTAGTAATGCCCATGAAACTGCAGTCTAGGCGAACTACGGCAAAGGCGATACTAAGAATGATAGCTGGGCTCACTACTCCCCGAAGCCTGACCCGTTGAGTCCTGAGCCCTTCTAAAAGCCTTCACCGGAACTGCTTGCGCTTCCCGGGAACTGCTTGCACGCGTAGGGATTGGGATGCTCAGCACAGTTCTCACGGCCTTCAGGTTTTTGCTCCAGCAGTTGAGAAAGAGCCGACGGCTGCCCCTCGGCGTTCTGGTCAACAAGCCGCCAAAAGACTCGCAGCTTCTTTCGTTTGGCCGACTTGCGCTTCCATGGCCTTGTGCACATCCACCGGTCAGCCATAACGTGCTCCATGCAGATCAAGGCCAATGCGGAGCGCTCTGCTTCGATCTCAGAACACTATGGCATCACACACGGGCACGGCTCAATATGGAAATACGTTGAAGTAGAAGTGAAAGAATGAAGGGAATCCAAAGCCAGCGCGGATGATAACCCAATGATTTAGGCGTCGTTATGATAAAACCCGCCCGAGGTGCGGACCATTTCAACCTTGAGCCAAAATTAGTGCACCACGTGGATGATGTCTTTGACAATGACCGTGGTTGTGATTGGAATCTTTTTGCCAAGAATTTGTGGCGCGGAAAATGAAACATTGCGAACACCCATTGGGTGGGGGGTTTCCTCATTCTGAAGCGGTGTGGAGACACGTATTCCGAGCCCAAGCAACATTTGAGCCACCTCTTTTTGGCTTTTTGGTTGCTTTTTGATGGAAATGGTAGGTGTAGGCTACCTTTCATTCGGCGTAGCCTCGCGAAGCCTTCCACGTGTAGACTGCCATGTGTAACCGCAGCGCGCACGATTTGAGAAAAGAACGGCTCAAACGCGCAGCGTTCACCCTGCCACTTTGACAGCAAGTCCTCAAAAATGATGTGCCGCTCTACGATGTGCTCGACAAGAAGATTTGCAAATTGGTCGAAGGTCCTTCAGGCAAAACCGTTGTGCATGTCTGCGCTTGGATAGAAAACAAAGCAGGACATGGTGGAAACATGTTTGTGTTAACAGTGCATGGACTTCGGTGTCGCTGCAAGGGCCCTGAGTTTAGACCTTGACTCCAAGATTTTGGTATGTATTAGTAGCGTTCTTGCTCCTAGTATCGATGCCAGGAGCGCCTAGTAGCGTCCTTGCTCCTATTAGGCAAAGTCTGACGCTTCTGCAGGAACTTTGGGACTGTCCTCAGCCAGCCAATGAGCTTCCGACCATCACGCAAGATGATCAGCAGCTTTTTGTCGACCTTGGAAGATATACAACAGCAATGGAATGGGAGCTATTTCAACCTGTAGAAGGGTTGGCAAGAATGAAGTGGCGTACATTGGTAGGAAGGTGGGGTAGGCCTGAAAACCTTACAACAATTCAAGTTGTTCATTCCCCCTATGTCAGGACTACCGTCTGATTTAACTTCCTTCTTATGCAGCTACCACTAGATGGTTTTACTACCTGATATTGGGCATGCTAAAGTAGTGATGACGAACACGCAACTAACAGTGCAAGGTCCACAGTGGGAAGGGAATGCAAAGCTGGTGCTGGAAGCTTAATCCACAAGAACACTTGCAAAAAAAGAAGACAGGTCAGCAACACCTATCGTAATTACAATGACGCTCGCCATTAAAGAAGAGAAGAAGAGAACTGGAGCACAAACTTGTTTGAACAGGAGAGCCAATGGCGTAAGAATCAATGAAAGCGGAATGCAAGCCCCTATCATAGAGTTTACTTGGTCCCTTGAAGTTTTTGACGTTGGTAGTCAACCTCTTCGACACGCTTGCCGCCAGTATGTGGACGCACATACAATCAGCACTTTTGAGCCAAGGCCTAACCGGCACACATGGCCTTTCAAACGGTTCTCTTAGATTTACATAGTTCTTTGTCCCAACGCTTTAACATGCAACGCTTTGGCCACGGCAGCCGAGGCACATGTTCCTCCAAATTGCTGGCCCAATGTGGCAGCTTCCCTGGGCGCCCTTCAAAGACTGGCTGCTCCATGCGTCATGTGCCGAACGAAATTACCCAAGATCGGCTTTGTTGAGCGATTTCGCCCTCACTGGTGGTCTGCTCTTTGGTTTGCAAGCATCATGCCAGGTGGCGGTTGTATTGGAAAATTCCTGATTGGCATTCTGAAGCAGGGTGAAATAACTAACGATTGGCTGTCAACGTGGAAGTTTTCAAAGGCTTCTAAAGCAACCCTTAAAAAGTGAGCCACTTTGATTCTTGCAGGCAAAGGTGCGGCCCAACACAGTATTTGCTGCAAGCGAAACAATTGCCACCGACGCCTACGCAGTCCTAATCATCGCGCTGATGCCTCATCATTTAAACTAACGCGAGCGCATAACTGGTTCCAGTTCGGCAGTGACTTCAAGTGGCATCTTTGGCTCGACTTGCAAGACTTGCTCGACAGAATCAGAACCGGAATCTTTGTACAATTTTTGTTGTGAAACACCTAGCTAATTAGCCTTTTTCTTTGCAACTGTCCATCAGTCTACGAGTTTTTTGCTTCTCTGAAATTTCATCATCTCAAAGTTTGTTTCCAACAACAAAGGGCATCGCTACTAGGAGCAAAGGGCATCGCTACTAGGGGCTCCTGGCCTTACTACTAGGAGCAAGAAACTCCTAGGAGCAAGGGCGCTAATTAGTTTCCTCATACGACTGAGAACTTCCGCTGACCGACCTGAAATTCGTAGGTCACATCTTCGGTGCGCGCATCGACCGCAGTGCACACCTCCTCAGTTCATCGGTGACTCGTGGTGATCTTTTAATAATGAAACCTCTTTTTCTTTGGACTTGTAAAAACTTATTTTGTTTCCTGTCTTTCTTTAGACTCTTTTTGGATCTCTAGGGGATTGGGGGGATGGGGCTTGGGGGTGGGGTAGTGGTAGGCCAAAAGTTAAGTAGCTACTACCCAGGAAACATTCTCTGCTCAACTCAGGTTTTTCTGGCGGGGGAGCTTCCTTAAACCCCTGCATGATTGATTTGGTTCCTGGATTTTTTGGAAAACCGTCTTTTCTCCTCTTTTCTCCTTGTCATGTTCCGTTTGCTCTTTGTGAATGATTGTTAAGACTTAAACCTTCTTTGGACCTTTAGATCTATATATTGTTTCCTTTTCTTGCTCTGTGTTCTTTCCCTTGTTTCCATTTTGTTGATAGGTTTCCTGGTTGATCTCCATCATGCTCACTATGGCTCATCCAATTGGTCCAATGTTTTCTGTTTGCTTTTGCAATTTCCTTTTGCATCGACTCAGCATGCCCAGGGACCAGTTGACCATCTTCGACAACTTGAGGTTCCAAGTGCAAATAGTATTGGTTCCAGGAGGTGAAGTCCCTGCGTGTATCGATGACCTCAGGGTACCAACAATTTGATGCTGGCAACATCCATGTACAAACCGTTGGAGTTCAGCAAAAAGGGCACATTTTGTGACAATCCAAAAAGTCTGATATCAAAACAATTCCAAAATACATTCAACCGCTTTCAACCCTTTGGAGGAGGGTCCGACATTCACCCCCAAGAGCCAAGGAACATTACTATCCGAGAGCTCAGTTTGCATCCACAGCAAAGTGCCACCAACCTTGAGCAGCTTCGGTCTCTGGGAAGCGCAAAGCTCTCTGCCAGTCGGCTCAAACAGATGACAAGTGACAAGCACACAATGTTGTCTGCAAATGATTGTGTCTGCGCTCCTGATGCCGAAGCCCCAATGGTGGCCCGTGTCAACCTATTCGGATCATTGTGTTATATCCGCCGACCCTGACCTAGCTGACGCCTAGGCGGGGCGGCGCCTGGGACACCGCAAGGTGAAACGGTGGCTCAACTTGCTTTCGGCCAAATGCTCAGCAAGACCTGCTGGTGGCCATAACCTGCGCCTTGTCCGGCACCTACCTGGGCTGCTGCTACGCGGTTCCAAACCTGTGCTTCTATACGGTTCCAAAAGCAACCTTGGAGAATGTTAGAGAGTGGCAGCCGTCCGTCCGAGCCGCCTTGCGCCGCGTTTGCGCGCAGAACTAAATGGGGGAAAGCTGTGGCGGAGCGTTTCGGGCGCTATCAGGAGCTTCTTGTACTGCTTGGTGGTGTGGCCGGCAAGTTGGGGCGGTGGCAGCTCTTTCCCAAGCTGTAAGTCCTGCGTTGCTGTGGCGTCTTTGAAGATGGGGCTCCTGGCCTGGAGAAGCGTCCTCAGGTAGCCCGTTCGCAAGGTCATAGAAACCCTTGCGCTTGTTTGGATTGGTCCAAGGTTCCCACACGCAGCCAAGCTGGACTTTTTTAAACTTTGGATGTGACATGTGTGGCTAAGGTGCATAGATAAAGCAAAGCCTGGGCTTTGGATTGACAGCCTGGAGCAATGCCTGGCGCTGCCCAAGCTGCATGGTGCGAATGCAGAACTGCAGAACCGAAAAAGTAAAACCCAGCCTTGGGACCGTGATTGCCAGACCCTGATACGGATGGACCCGCAGGTTTGAGGCCGTTCTGGCATCCACGCCCTTGGAGTGGGAACTCTTGATCAAGATGTTTTCAAGGCTCTTTGATCTCTCATCTGGATTTGTGTGGGCAGGAGAGCTCCATCTGCTGGATGTTTCAAAACGGTGGTAGTGCCAAAGGTGGTGCTGTCTTCAAAGCCTGCCCGGTCTGGTAGAGCAAGCCGCGTCAAGCCACGGTAGACGCAGATCGCACAACATGTGGGCCGTTTCGTGGTTGGGACCGACGTGGCTCTGCAGCTTTGGTGACCACACCGTCCACGAGAGTGTTTTTTTTACGTGGCAGACCAACGCGAGTTTCTCATCCGTTAGGTATTGACCCAGACTTCGTTGGTCCAGCGCAGCAATTCATGAGCTCTTGCCATGTCACTTCGTCCCTGTAGTGGTCCGGATAGTCGATGATCACAGGCTAAAACTAGGTAGCCCTGATAACACCACAGGTCCTGCAGCTCAGGGAGCTTCTAGTTCAACATGCTCAGCCAGCTTGGGTGATTTTTGGACGGCCTCTTTGACGGCGCACTCAGCCAGGTAGGCGCGCATCCATGGCCAGGAGGTATAGAGCTGGATGGCGTCATACACGTGAGGCGCAATGGACACAGAGTGGTGGGCAAGGATCAGTGCACGGACCTTGACCGGAACTGTGAAGGACAGTGATGAAGCACCAGTGACTTGACGGTGTTGAGGCACCGAGGTGGCGCACAGCCAAGAAGTGATCTCGTGATCTGTGAGAATCTCAAAGAAATCTCGTGGCGCAATGCCGCGTGAGACCCACTAGCCTGATCTTATGAAGGGCACAGGCTTGAGACCTCAAATCTTGAGCCGTGCATCTATGTTACGCGTGATGCATGCATGGCTGGCTGGCTGGCTGTCCGTCTGTCTGTCCGTCTGTCTCTGTATGCATGCAAGCATGCATGTATGTATGCGCGCACGAGTATGTATGTATGTATGTATGTATGTATGTATGTATGTAGCTATGTATGCGTGCGTGCGTGCGTGCATGTATGCATGTATGCGTGTATGCATGCATGCGTGCATGTGTGTATGTATGTTTTTCCTCTTCCATACTTCCTTTCTTCTCCTTTCGCCCTTTCCGTCCGTTCCACGCCTCTGAGCCCACCGGCACCTGGAAGGTCAGGCGCTTCCGCTGCTGTAGCTGTTCTTGAAGCCTGAGCGGTCGCAGAAGCTGGCTGAGCTCCGGTCGGTGGAAACGTCGGCATTTGGACAAAGAGATCTTTGAACGCCGAACGCTTCCAGGTTTTCACCTCTTTGTAAACATTCATCAAGTAGAGATCTTCTGCGCCTCGCCCCACGCGGCATAATTTTTGTGTCTGTCCAACCGACACTTCTTGACGCAAAGAATATGTGAGAGGTTTATAGACCAACAGTGCGGGCCTCCCACTTGTGAATTTCCCACCTGACTTAAAGAAAAGAATTTTAAGGAACCTAATAGCGATGGCCTCCAACCTAATTGGGTGTGTATGATTCGGGGGTATGACTCGAGGGTATGATTCGCAAATAATTCGCAGTATTGTTGGATTGGCGGGACTTTCAGCAGTCTGCGCCGTGAGGCAGTAGGCAAGCAGTATCTGTAGGTTGCTGGGCAGACTAGGCAAATCCAAAGACCCCACACCTCACCAAAGGCACGACCCTTTTGACTGCACCAGTGGCCCTCTGCAGGCCCCAGCAAAACAACCAAGATGTGGGATAGGTGGGAGACTGTGTGGAGGTGTGTGATTCGGGTAGGAATCGGGCATGAATCGGGTGTGAATTGTACGGCCATTAGATTCTGTGAAGCGATCCTTTGCCTCCTCTTCCCAAGGGAGGGCACATGGGAACATTAGCATGCCTGGGATGTGAGGTTTGCTCTTCCCACAAGAAGACAAACAAGCTTGGCCAAATTGAGTGCCCGTGGATCACACAACTGCAAGCGTCATGCACAATTTTTTCATGGACATCTACAAGGCACAAAGACCAACCAAAAGCTTCACCTCAACACAGAGTTCTTACACTTACATATCCAACGCTAAAGGCGATCCTTCGTTGTTCGCCTGAGGCTTCTGCTTTTCGAGGCCTGGCGCTGGAACCGTAAAAAAACACACATCTGCGTCGAATCTAATTCTGCGGGACCACCAAAAGGGTGGTCAGCAGTAAATCAAGGCTGACAGGGCCGGGGACACTTGCTAATGTTAATCAATCAGAAGGTAAGAGCGCAACTCAACCTACACAATAGACTTGGTACCAGTCTCAAATCATGCCAGAATCCCACACTCGAAGTCGTAGTCCTCCCAAAGCTGGCCCTCTGCCAAATGTAAGTCTTCAGGGAAGTTCCGGCTGTCATAGAGTCCCACTTCCAGTGTTTGCCTCCGGGACAAGTACGTCGAACCAACCAGTGGACCAAATACGACCAAATACGAGGAAGTCATCAGAGTTCACATTTTGGGCAGCCCTACAGCAAAGGGCAATGCCCAACGAACAAAGCAAAATGCTTGGGGCAATTCTCGTCGTGGTTCGCTTGCTTAGAATCTCAATGGATGAACCTGGCTAACACAACTACTGAGAACCTGTCAGTCCTGCCTCAACCAGGAACCATGCAGAAACCAATTTCGAAACCGATCTCCACCTGAGCTGGATGCACCAAAAGGGAACTAGTGGTGAGTAATTAGATCTTTAATACAGCCCCTCTTGAATTAATCAATTGGTGACTGGACAAGTGCAAATTGATTTTAAACATGACAAATTAATTTGCAACGAAACCGAGTGTTTAGCATTGTTCGTAAGCTGGATCTGGAAACTAATTCAGGGGCCTAGAGTTCAGTATTGTAGGGGAGGTCAAGCACTCAACCACCCAAGCGTTAATTTTCACAAGAATAACATGCTTTTTAAATCACAACTTCATACCCAAAGGCGACCCCAGCCCCCAGCACTCACCTTCCCACTTTTCCTCTCAGCGCTCCCAATATAGTACCCTTAGTATTCATGTAATTGCTGCCACCATTCATTTCCGAGCCCTTCTCTATCAAATTCTTGCTTTTACGCATTTTACACCAAGCCTTTTAATGTTTTCTGGTGGACAGCACCAAAGCCAGGAAATTTCCAGTGTTACCCTCTTTGAGCAACAACACAAGAGCTTTGCAAAGCATTACGCAAACTCAGCTGTTTTGCCATCCTGGAAACTGATTCACAGGTAACCTACCTCTCCACCACCTTTCAATTCTTTTCTTCCCCCACCGCACATCTCAAACATAATTGACGCTAATTGTTTTTTTTTTTTTTTTGCTGGGGGGTTGCTATTTCTCTGCTGTCAAACTATGTTGTTTCTTACGTTTCAGCTTTGTTGAGGGCCCCTCCAGCATCCTATGTCAGCAATATCGACAATTAATTACTGCAAATTATATAATTTGAGACTCAGAGCCCCACCTCAAATCTTTTTCAAGGGCTGGCCCCATGTGAATGTCGAACGATATAGCTCATTACCCGCTAAGGACGTCTATAATTTGGGTGGGCCCCTATCGGTTTTCAGGTTTCGGCATCTCTTTACATGTATTTGGGTGGTACCACATCGGTCTCAGGTTTTCTTACACGTCTACAACTCTTTGGGGTATCGCTTTTGATTGGACCATCGCCCATGTTAGAGTTTGAGGGTATCGGTTTTGGGTGGGCCCCTATCGGTCTTGCAGTCAAATCGTTTTTTCGAACAACAATGTCCAGCCGAAGACTACTGCTGACTTACAGTAATTCTGTCGGGTACTCATGTGATACCGCATGTTGCCTTCCAGTTGTTAGGCACACAAAGTTCATTACCAAAGTTACAGCAATGCGTTTTCGCCAAGGAACGCGAGAGCTGCAATGGTTGCCTCAGGTTGACAACACTCTCCCAAGGTCCTGTACTGGTTGTGGGGTCATCAGTTTCTCTGGTAGATTGATGGGAAACGGTTTTCGTTCCTGCCATCTGGCGACGAACCTGGACAATTCTTGTCTGCAAAAAAACACATGCACCAAGAACATCCATCCATGGAGCACGTACAACCTCTATTGTCTCTATTCCGCTGCAAAATCATGCAACATCTACTTGAAATATCTTCCTCCTCCTCCTCCTCCCCTCATCATCATTGTCATCACCCTGCCTGCCACATCAAAGGGCCTCCCTTGCTCCAAGCTGCGCGGGTGCTAAATAGCTGCTGGCACGCTTTGGTACCGTCGGCAGTGGCCCCAAGCGATGTTGCACATCTGCTAGGATGGCCTGAGATTTTGCAGCTAGTCGAAACCATCGCAGCTATGCCTCACATCATCCGGTCCATGGAGATGTCGAAGCAGGGAGTTTGGGCGACAATAACACCACATATAAAGTTCATCGAGTTCGCAAGAGGTGTTTCAGAAAGGTAGCAAGGCCAGCGCACAAGCAGGCCATGAAAGCACCAGCCGCCCTCACACGCGTGCGAGTCTAGAAAGGTCCATATTAGTCAGTCAAACCAAACCCGCCCTAAACAAGCCACCAAACACTGGCCGAAGGCCAAACACCGAAAGTGAATTACAGATATTACAGCAACTTTTGACAAATATTATTGCTCATGACACGCTAACCAGCTACGAGGTCCCTAAAAGCCCACTGTCATCAAAAAGCGGATGCCAAATCCCGGATAGGACAAAAGGGGGCGCGTCAAGTTGCACGAAGTCGGCGAAAGACCACACGAACAAGAGGCCCTCTCCCCTCGCGGCCGAGACTCGGAACACGAATCCCGAATCTGACAATCCGGATCCGTTTTGGTTTGAACGAAATGAAAACCGGATCCAATCCGGTTCTTGTTTTCGGCAAAAAAACACATTGACCCTCCACGGCTGTCGACCGTCATCGCCATCGTCCGATTCCCAGGGGCCGGTGCGCCCTCTTTGCTGGCCTCGGAATCGTCGGGAACTCGACCACAACGACCGCAGTTGTTCACAAATCACAAATTGGCATGGCTTTTGGATTTCCGCTTCCTTGATGTTTGCAGGCTGCAATCAGCTAAGTGTCCACCTCTTCTCCCAAGCCGAGCTGCCGTGTATCCCAGCAGCTCTGCCACCAGTAGTTCTGGCTCCTGCTCCGCCAAGAGCTCAGTGGGTAAGGACATGGACCGCCCAGACAAGATCTGAAAGGCAGCGGCTGTACGAAAAAAACACTGGCTGTGATCTTGTAGCAAGCATTTGGGCGGTTTTATGAACATGTTTTATAAGGAGGCCATCGCTACATGATGTAAACAAGCAAAACATAGCTTAACAACTAACACCTTCGGAACTGGATCATCGTGAGAGCTTTGCCGCTTCGTGTATCTTTGCATCTTGGCTTGGCACCCGAACGCCCCAACACACAGCTGCTGCACGGCTTCGCCTGCACTCGATCGCCATAGTGTGCAACTTGCTTCCGGGCCATCTGGGCATGTGCTGGAGAGGCTTCCACGGCAGTGACGTGCTCAGCAGAGGCTTCCAAGGAGAGCTTGACCTGAAGCGTCAAACGGCCCCTCAGCATCTCACAAGGGTCTCTAAGTTCCAAGAAATATGCGGACACGTGTTGAAACGCAGTCTGTGCAACGGTGTAGGGCCCCTACCAGCGGAGCCCAGGGCCCACAGCCGATCTCTAAGACACGCTTGGCACGGTGTGTGGCCATGGCACGGCGAAAGCCGTCCATGCGCAACTCATCCGTGGTGAGCGTATACCTCACAGTCCACTCGAGACTGGTACGTAGCAGTATCCAATCTTTGGGCTCATCTGCACACCAAGTTGTCAAGAACCAAGATGCAGGAAGTCCGATGAATAAGATGTACGCATCCGGGCAGGTTCGTGGGGCATCAGCTGAAGGATCGGGTAACCCTTTTTTGTCGCCTGCCAGAAACCTTAGATCTGAAGACAGGTAAGAAATAAGAAAAAGAGAGATTGTCAGGGTGCCTCAAGGAATTTGCCACTACAGGGCTCCTTGGCGCAAAGCCTGCATACACACGCATTCACTTCATTTGATTCACCAGACCTTTGACCTTTGGATAGAAACAGTTGAAGTGTGGGAACAAAAAACTATTAACGAAAACCAAATTTGCAAAATCATGGATAGGAACAAACTAATAGTAACAAGTGCATCGCTACTAGTAACATGGGCATTACTACTTCTTCCGTCGACCACAAAGTGCCAAGCGGCGCCGGGCACTGCTGGCACCAGAAAGGCGTGCCAGTGACAGGGTAGCCTTCAAAAGGCCGCTATTCAACTTCGGTCATTACATGACAATAGCGACCTTGCACATAGGACATCCTATAGGACCTAATAGCGATGGCCTCCAACCTAAGCACAAAAAATATTAGACCTTTCTTCCTTATCTTTGTTTCTGATGGCAATGGCCTCCAACCTACTAGCGATGGAAACAACTGAATCTTCATAGCAGACCTAGGACATCCTAGGACCTAGCAGTTCCCCATCCACGTTGACTGCCACATTGGGTGGCCTCAGATGAGAATCTCTTGTGCTTCGGCCGAAGAGGGTTGGCAGCAACAAAGGACTTCTTTGAGCTCCTGTCAGCCAAATCTTCTGGAGCTTGCAAGGCTGGTTGAAGGGAACTTCATATTACTTCTTCCAAATGCATCGAGCAATCTCATCAACTTGCAGTGCCTCCCAAAAGCGATGGGCTTCTGCGTGCTGCTTCTCAACCTACTGGGGGGTCTATCGGCATCGTGGCATGGATAACTCTTTGCAAACTCAAAGCAGGACACCTCTTTCAAGCTTTTCAGGCCTCACGATGCACTGCTGCAACCATCCGGGGAACATCCCGGTGTAAGAACACTGCCACCTCCCGCGAATCTTTGGCATTAGGGCAAGAGCTCAGTTCGTGGAAGTCAAAAATTGGCATGCTTAAGTCTAAGTACAATTATATCCGCCGACGCCGGCCTAGCTGACGCGTAGGCGGGGCGGCGCCTAGGATACCGAAGGTTGCAACTTCTACCTGCTTGGGTGTCCGGAGCATCTACCTGCTCTGCCTTGCCGCCGGGCGGTACCTTCGCTTTTTTTGGCATCGCTTTGCCTCTGGTCTAGAGCTCCTTCCTGCTCTGCCCCCAGAATTAGATGGGGAAAAGCTTGTCGCGGTACCTCGGCTTTTTGCTTCGCTTTGCCTTAGAGCTCCTACCTGCTCACGCTGGAAAATGGGGGGTCGGCGGCGCCAGGGCGTTAGCCCTTTCTATTCGGCGATGCGTACCGATGACTCAAGCGTAGCTTGCTATACGGAGACGTGCCCGATGCCGCCGACCCGCATTTCTAGCATCACCCGGGCTCAGGTGGATTCATCAAAAAATGTCAACGTCAAAAACTGAGGGAAAATGATCAAACATTGCCACTGACGAAAAAGTAGCTTCCAAACATCTTAGAAAATAAAGCTTTGAAAATGGATACAAGCTTAAAGGAGAAATTTGGGTCGAGCATCATCAGCATCAGCAGAGTCTCGGCAAGAAAGATGCAAATTCTTTGGTGCACGACTAGGCAGAAAACACTGTAAATTACAGTGCTTTTGCAACATGTATGTAGTTTATGAGCAACGCTGCTCATATTCTGGTGATGCCAATGGTGCTCGACACAACTGCTACCTCAAAACTTCCTCTCCTCTTAGCATACTCTCTTCTCTACAGATAAAGCTTTACAGTAGCAATGCTTTAATCATTTTCCCTGTGTTTTTGACGTCTTTTTTCTAGCACTACCTGGGCTTATATGGCTTCTTGCAACATCAGGACTTTGTAGTGGAAAGCGCTGAAAAAGATTGTAAGCGCAGATAGCCTTAGGCTAGAGCGTACTCAAAAATACCTTCCTTCCACGTTTTCTACTACAAAGACAAAGCCCTGAAGGAGCCGTGCGCGCGCTCGCGCGCTCTCGTGTGCGCGCGCGCTCTCGTGCGCGCGAGTGCGTGCGCGCGAGTGCGTGCGCGCGAGTGCGTGTGCGGTCGTGCGCGGTCTTGCGCGTGCGGGTGCATGTGCATACGTGTGTCTGAAGATGAGGTTGCTTTTCCATCAGACCCTGGTGCGCACACCTGTGTGGGAGTGCGCAGGCGTAAGAAGCTGCGCTAATCGTCGCATTATGCTGTGCAAGGAGCCTCCGGATACGCGCAGTCCCCCCAAGGGCGTCGCCGGTGGGCGAAGCCTGTCAGTAATATAAGTATGAATTATCCGGCCTTGCGGCGCTCGTCTACTGCTGGGAAGAAGTATCTGCTCGGCAGCCACTGAAGGGGCCGACGGCAGAATTGCACTTCGGTCATCTACGCACAGCAGGCCAAGCAGGCGTCTGATTGTTCAATCTTCTTCCTGAATGAAGTGGGTTTACCATCGCCATTGATTAGGTTGGAGGCCATCGCTAGTAGGTGGAGGCCATCACTTTTAGGTTGGAGGCCATCGCTATTAGGTTGATGTTTTCAGAACCACTTCAATTATTTCAACCTATGAACTTTCGCACGTACATTCTGCCGGATCGAAACCAGTGAAATCTTGAATTCTGAAGCCAACTCCACACCATGCCGTCGTCTGACATGTCTCAAATGCATTGGATTCACTGTGTAAAGACTCATGCTTTCGACCGAATCGCTCAGCCAACACCAGCACTCCGATGCACTCGCAGTCAAGTCGCATCTTTGGCCCAACTTGCACAACAGAAGACCTAGAACATCCTAGGAATTCCTAGGACCTAGCAGCTCCCCACGTTGACTGCCACATTGGGTGGCCTCAGATGAGAATCTCTTGTGCTTCGGCCGAAGAGGGTTGGCAGCAACAAAGGACTTCTTTGAGCTCCTGTCAGCCAAATCTTCTGGAGCTTGCAAGGCTGGTTGAAGGGAACTTCATATTACTTCTTCCAAATGCATCGAGCAATCTCATCAACTTGCAGTGCCTCCCAAAAGCGATGGGCTTCTGCGTGCTGCTTCTCAACCTACTGGGGGGTCTATCGGCATCGTGGCATGGATAACTCTTTGCAAACTCAAAGCAGGACACCTCTTTCAAGCTTTTCAGGCCTCACGATGCACTGCTGCAACCATCCGGGGAACATCCCGGTGTAAGAACACTGCCACCTCCAGCGAACCGAAACTGGCAGTCTGACTTATATCCGATTGAAGAATCTTTAGCATTCTCTTCGCACGTTTAGGGAAAGAGCTCAGTTCGTGGATCATGTTTAGCTATTCTTGAGACATCCCTAGGCAGGCCAGCTGCCAAATGTAGGAAAAAATCCAAGATCGAGAGAGCTATTGGGGTTCTTTCAAGTATAGGATGTTGGCGGGGACCGGGTGTTGGTGCTGCAGGGTGGTGCTACAGTGAGGGTCAAGGGTGCTTGCCAAATGTCTATGGACGTTGCAGAGTCGCTGTGGAGCTCGTATGCTGGTGTTTCTGCCAGATCACGTCTACACCCGAAACAAAGCGCTTGGGTCCTGCCCACAAGTATCTTGTGCTATCTGGGGTGTACTACGTCACGTCTCTTTTAGTTTCTTATTGGAATTGCAGATTCAACCAATACATCACGAGCCAGGTAAGCAACTCGCAAAACGGTGAAAATTATCCGGCCTTGCGGTGCTCGTCTCCTGCCTGCTCGGCAGCCACTGAAGGGGGCCGACGGCAGAATTGCACTTGGGTCATCTCACAGGTGAAGGAGGAAGTGCCTCCTGATCAGGCATCATCAACCTGGCATCGCTCCTGATGCCTTTGTTGTTGTTGCCACTGTTTTCGTAGCTGATGCCAGTTGGAACCTTAGGAGCTGGTGAGTTCTGATGGGACATCTGATACCATACCTGAACATAGAAAAAGTTGCAACATAAGTTGTATGTTGTCTATTGTCTACATAACTGACAGCTGACATCACTGACATCTTTATATATCTTGGTGGCATTCCCGTTTTCGCAGACTGAACCATCGACTTTGAGCATCCAGCAAGTCTCCTGCAAGAGCTGTGGGTCCACCGCCCAACTCAATTCATTTCGCTCCTGCCGTGTGAGAGTCCGGCGTTCTTTGCGTATTCACCGATATGTTAACATAGCAATACATAGTATAATACATTTACATCTGTAATGTGTAGCACAACGGACCTCCATCGCTAGTACGACGTCATCGATACAAGGGTGGAGGCCATCGCTATTAGGTTCGAGACCATCGTTACTAGGGTGGAGGCCATCGCAATTAGGTTGGAGGCCATCGCTATTAGGTTGGAGGCCATCGCTACATGTCGCTTCTGGGGCGGAGGGCGTCGCAATTAGGTTGGAG